GGAGGCATTCAAGGCCAGGCTGGATGTGGCTCTGGGCAGCCTGGTCTGGTGGTTGGCGACCCTGCACATAGCAGGGGGTTGAAACCAGGTGATCATTGTGGTCCTTTTCAACCCAGGCCATTCTATGATTCTACGATTCATTCTATGGTTACGATGCTGGCTATGAAAAGATCCTCCTGATCTTTACTGACATCATAAAATTTTGTTCCTGCCTTTACACCCCCCCAGTTACCATAGCTGAACAAGAATGCTGAATGACTGTGATCTTTCAACTGACCAATTCCTGTAGTAGCACGTGTGAAGGTGGTCTGTAATGGAAGAAAAAATCACAAGATTCTTGGTGAATTTAATTCATCAAGAAAAAAAAAACTGACCAAAACATGCTGCCCAGAGCACTCCAGCATCACCTGAAAGCTGAGGGCTCACAGTCTCCCACTGTTTGCCTTACCTGTTATTCTATGAAAGCCACATGTCGTAATCAGCTCTGCTCTTGTAAGACCCCAGCTATAAAACCTTTGGCAGTATAAATATTTACCAAAGCAGTCGCACGTTGGTATGTGACCACGCAAAATAAGAACTTCAAACACGAATAGTGGGTTTATGATGACTGTAAATTTTTTATTCCAAGTTTCCTGACTTCCAGAGGCTTAAAATCTGACCTTCGTACTGCATCATTCCCTGCAGTTCCTGACACCACTACTGTATTCCTGACAAGGGCATCTGCACCGAATTTTTATTTTCACATTCTGACTTGAGCTCAATGGCTCTTGCTATGACTTTCTCTGCAAAGGAGTTTCCTTTTGTATGTGATGCTGCATGACACGTACACTTTAAATTTCAAGTTTGATCAATGAATGCTCTTTTGTTTTTTATTATAAGATAGACTCTTTCTAATAACCTAAATGAGTCTTTTCTCACGTTTTCCATGTATCTTCATGTTGGATGTGAATAACAGAATTAAATACAACTTATTAGAAAGTTTTCACTAGTATTGTATGGCAAGATATTACTTTCCTCATGATCCTGTTCCCTTTCAAGGTACTATTTCAGCACTTCTACTAGAGTATAGAGTTTGTATTAGCTGACAATTCACTGTGATCCCATGCAGTTTTTAAGTCCTTGCTTCTGGATGTAATTGTCACCCCATCCATGCAATGTCTGCTATTTGCTGCTCGACTAATTGCCTTACATGCCACCATACAGAAGTACAATTTGCTTTAGTGCACCCAAACAACAACCTTGCCTTCTACAACTTTCCTCTTTATCGTTTGCCACACATGTGGCAATACTGTTCTGCCTCTTCTGTAATCACCTATTTGTGTGGTGGAACTGCCCATTGCATAAAAATGCTGGTCTGAAGAATTCCACCTTTGCAAAACCGGTGTGATGATAGATTCCACCTACAACCTAGGTTGTATTTTTTTCCCACCCTGCAGTAAAAATAGGAGTATTTGCTGTTTTGTTTAGCTCTTGAAGTATAAATACATACAAAGATGCAAGGAGTATTATGAAAACAGAGTAAAATAAGATTCCCTAGATCTCAGACCCTGGGGAACATAATCTGTATTCACACCAAAAGGGTTCAGTGCGTAGAGGCGTTTGACATATGGACCTGCAATTAACACTGTGCACCACAGCAGCTGGGCTTTCAGCTCTGACACTAGAATTGAATGGTGAGCTTGGCACCTAAAGTAGGGATTAATCCCATTTTTTAATTTATTTCCATGCCTAAATTAGGAGTTTTATCTTGCTCAATCAGAGCCTGAAGTTTGGAGGGTAGTTGGGGCAATCAGGTAGATTTTGAGGATTCTTCTCCCTAGACTACTTCTGTTTTTTAATTCACCAATTGCCTATCATGAACTATGCAAGTGGTCCAGACAGCCAGGATCCTCCTCTCCCTATCGATTCCCAAGTGCTCAGGCTGAATATGTTGGCCTTTCCTTTGCTTTACTCCTGGTTTGCTTTCTGGGCATGCAGCTTAAGCTGAATTGGACATTGCTCTGCCCTCCAGCAGAGGCCTAATGATAAAGTAAGCTCTTAATAGGTGGCAATTGTGCAAGCAAAATCCCAGAGAAAAGCCTGGTTGCTCACTTGGTAAGCGATCTATTAGTGGCAACAGACAAGATGGAAAATGTGCACCACACAGTGCAGGCGGTTCAAGTACCTTGCATGCCTAGCAAACAGGGCTGCTTAGAGAATTTAGGATAGACTGAAAGAAAGGATGACTTCTTCCTCAGGGGTGAGTGCCCATGAGGGCCTCTGGAGTCAAGAAAAGGTGCTCCTGAATAACAGCGCAGTGGTGTCCTCCAGACATGGCCGAGGCAATGCAGAATTCTTCTAAGTTTTTCTCCATCCATTTAAATTTCAGTGATGCTCTGAGGATTTTTTCCACAATAGTAATGAGAAATGCCTGCTGTACCAAACAGCAACAACAGGGCTTTTCTGTCTCATATGTAGAGAAAGAGGCAAGCAGGAAATTCACAGCCTGACACACTTTCATGCTTGTTTAGTTTCTCTCCCTTTGGAATACCTACTCTGTTTTTTTTTGGTTTTCACTTCCTTCAGATCCGTATCATCCTGTTATTAATAAAAAGCATTTGACCCGCTCCACCCCTTTCAGATCAGCTTTGGTCACCTCGATCACCACAGTCCCATTTCCCTTTTTATGTGTGGAGGAACTACACCTGAGTGTGAGAGCTGCTGCAGTTGTAATCCTTGGGAGTGGCTGTGAACATTGTTCACACGAATCATGCTTTTATATGTGGACACTGAGATAAACAATCTCATCTTCCACTGCTTATTATTTATTCTACATTTGCTCACTGTATTCCCATTTAGGAAAGACACAAGCTTAATTTATCAGTCAGTTTTTTGAGCCATATTACAGAGGATACTTGGAGCAAGTAAGGCCTAGTTAACATAGTTGCAACTTAGCATATACTTAAGAGAAGCCATTCTTTCACTAACCCCATGGAAATAAATTAGCAGAGATCTAAAATTCTTAAGTATTCTCACCTGTGACATGCAGCATGGCATCCACTTAAACTACCATTTTGCTGGAAATTTCTCTTACCAAAAAGAATTATTCTTTGTAAATCTTTGGAGCTACTCTCACAAAACCCTTTACTTAAATGCTCTCATTTGTCAGGACAGGCAGTCACGAATAGCAAATAAGAATGTTTCAACAGAGGTGGATTTGTAGTAGGAATCTGATCATTCTTTAACGGTGCCAGGGTATTTTAGGCTATGGACTCACGCCTTTTGAGCAGGAAGTGCATAGAATTCTTTGTCCTGCTTCATCCCAGGAAAGAATGTCAGAAAGCACTGCATTACTAGTCCACATATTCCCAGTGCCCCATCCATAGCTTTGTGAGAAGTAGCAGAAACAATGGATAACATTTGTGGCTAAGTTTGCTTTTAACTTCATCAGCTAGCAGCTTATTGTAACCAGAAAAAAGTTAAGAGAAAATGAGTATTAGAAAAAAAAAAATGCACTTTACTAGAAATGTTCTCAGGAAGGACTGAACTCTCAGCTTAGGATAAACAACAGCTGTACAAAGCACGTGCCCCACAAGGTGACGAGTGAGAACAAGGTCCTGAACAATAGCCCATCTTGAAAAGATTATGCCTACTCTGCTTGTAGGTGCTATTGCAGCCTGGGAGAGAAACCTTGTGCTATTTGAACTACATTGAATTTACTTCCATTCAAATTTTCTCCTGAGATACATTAAATTAACCTACTTTAAGCAGAATAGCGTTATTCATGGAAAAAAAAATATATCAAAACAGGAGGTAGGGAGAATGAAACCCAGGATTTTAGAGGTGATATTTCAAACCACAAGGGTAACACAACTTATTACTTGCGGATCATTGTAATTAGTTAAGTTATAGCCTAGAACTGTGGTAAGTGAATGTGATGACCAATTTACTACTGGTGACATAATTGACAACATGTAGTCTAGTCCTTTTAAGCTGTATTTGTTATTATTTTTTAATAACATCTACTGTGTGGGTAGGCTCTGTCCAAGTAAGCTGGGTAACAATTTATACTCTAAAACCCCACAACTGAGAAACCTTAATGAGAACAAATCTATGAACTTCTGCAATAAATGACTGGTCACCATTAAATATGTACAGTTTTACTGCACACCCCTTGCAAGGCTTTGCTTCTGGACTGCCAAGAGATTACTTAATCTGTAGAAACTGAGACAAGTACTCCAAAATTGATCAACAGAGGTTCACTAGGTAAAGACCACAGTCTCAAATAGCCTAATACATAAAATAAAGAGCCTGAGTTCAGTTAAGGAGCCATAGTTTTTTCCCTAGCCTATGGCAGTATACAATGCTAGACCTGCCTGTAGCTGTAATGCTGTATTAGACCAAGTGACCAGGAAGCCTATCACACTGAGAGGCATACGTGTACTTGCACACAGAGAGAAGAATGATGTGTAAAAGCACCATCGGAGATTTACAAAAATCCCACAAATACCCACGTATTTTACCTTCCTTTTCCCACATAGTTCCTACAACGAAGTTCTTTATGGACAGTTCACATCCACGGTGATTTATTAAGCCGTAATATGTTATCTGTGGTCATCTGTACTACAAATATGCATGCACTTCTTTTTGTTTCCCACAGAAGATGAAATTAAAAGTTGCCACGGAAGCCCATTACAGATGGAGAGTTCACAGTCATCTTGCAAAAAACTTTGAGAACAATCAACTCCAAATAGTTCCACACAAAGTATCATTCTAAACGCAGGATGAAGGTGAAACTGAAACTGTAATCACCTAAGCAGAAAAATCTGAATGCCCTGAATTTCTGGTACATGTACTGGGGACTTGAGAACGACCAATTAATCTACATGTTGAACAGTCTGTGAAGAGAAAGCAAACTGGCCTTTAAAGCTATAAGCAGTGTTGAAATGGACCACAAAATGGTTAGCATCACACAGAAGAACAGCAGGGTTTCACAGTTAAAACTGCACACACAGGATATGTCCGTACATTGAAATATACAGTTTATTTTCTCAAAGTCAAGCAATACCATTTTTCAGTAGGTAAGTGTGAAGTGTTAAGCAGGAAAACTGTACATTTTCACTCTGGGCTGCAGGATCCAAACAATTGGAGGAACATAGTGGAAGTCTCACTATACAAAGAGATCCTAAAATTGAGAACAATATAAGGTGAAAAAACAGCCATCTCCAGGATGCCAAAGGCAAAACATTAGCACCAGATTTTTTCAAAAAAACAACAGTGGAGTTATTTACAGATTTACATACAACATTGGGAGGCAACCATCTTCAGGCTCCTGGGGTGAGAGACTTTCAACAGATTTATAAAAGGAAAGGAGAAAATGGTGTCTACACAATCGTCCTGTGAAAAGGAAAATATATATAGCATTCACAATATTGCTACCTTTATCAGAAAGAGCTAAATCAAAGTACTGTATACAAACACATTGTAATTATATTATTATTCACATTTCACATACACATTTCAGAGTAACCACAATATGTAAAATCTTTAAAATGCCACAGATAAAACAATGCACACTTCTCCAAGCTAAAGACAAGCATAATTTATTTGGGAATTGTTTAGTTTTGGGATTGTTATGGCTAAGGGATAAGTAAGGACAAAAGGGATCACTTGTCCAAGTAACATAGCAGCAAGTAATTGTGAGATGCCAAAGAGTAAATTTCAGAACTAGGAGAAAGAAACTAAGGTCAGCTGTAGGTCCTTTAACATGGTAGCTCCATGCGACCTCAACTCAGACAAAACAATTTCATTACAGGTTTGGTCCGGGTAAACAACACAGTGCACTACAACGGGGTAATGGTCCTTTTAATGTTTGCACCTGTCTGCAAAGGAATTGCTTCCAGAAGAGTTTTGCACCAACTCCCAGAGAGAACCCCTCTGGATCTCCCTCCATGAATGAGATTAGGTGAAAAACAGGAACCTTCTGTGAATGCTGCCATTGCACCAGTAGTTAAAAGAATGCTTTTCTCTCTCTTTTCAACATCTAACTACTCGCATCTCCGACCTGTTTCACCACAGACTGGCATCCACATTGGCCTCAAAAGTGGGTTCCATAGTTGAGCAATCTGTTTAACTTAAGGAGAGATAAATGGTTTCCTTACAGTGAAAAGGAATATACAAAAGTCATCCAAGGCTCTCCTGTGCCTACTGAACTTCATCTTTAAAACATGACATTCAGACACTACAGAATTTCTCTGTAGGTATCCAAGCAAGTCAACATAACCTACTACTGTGCTAAAATACAAGTTAGCAGCTCTTCTTAGAGCTACTGGAAATCATACCTTACAGTCAGTGGCAATATTACTAAAACATAACCAGTAATCCAATACTGCAAAATTGCATTCTCTCATTTATCACTGTGTAATGAAAAAAACAAACAGAACCCACTTATGTTCACAGTTACAAAGCAGAGTTGCTCCAAGTAATGCACAGTATTTACATGGCAGACACTGTTTATATTGCATTTGGTAGTCTGAGAAAGTAGAAAGAAAGAACAGCATCACATAGGTCAACTTCATTATAATTTAACTGTCTATAAAAAAAAATCACAATGTTCAGTAATCAGAAGAAAATAGAAGCAGTATCTTTAGCCTACATTTATTTTCATAAAATGTAGCAGTTTGGAGGGAAGAGAAAGAAGAACATGCATTAAAAGCACAAGAAAGAACAACTGAGCTTTCTAAATAATTTAGATGAGAAATGTTTTGGAAAAAAATCAGCACAGCATTTCCAGCCTGTTTCTTAGATCAAGTCTAATTTAGTAAAGAAGGTAATGTGTATTACAGTGAGATGGTGTAAAATTACATCCTGGAAATTAATTTTTTTTTATAAAAATCTTCAGCAAGGTAGCTATTAGGTGATTTGCAAGCTGGTTTAAGAACTGTTCAACTGAAACTGATTTCAGAGTTACTTCTGTGAGGGGGCAGTGCAATCCTACAAACAATATTACAAAAAAGTGTCTGATGCCACAGGATCAGAGTGACACTACATTTCAGTAATCTGAATATATTAGCTATAAGATGCACATTTCCCCTGTTTAACGTGTCTTAAAAAAATAATACTAAAAAGCCACTACAGAGAGAGCTTCTGTACTTGTGTGCATTCAGAAATTGCTGTTGGGTTTCCCAGCAATCTGTACAGAATCTGAACATAAAGGAAGTATACATTCTATTCTAAAAAAATGCTTGCATGCACAACTGCTACAGACTTTCAGCTTACTGAGTAGAAAGGTTAAGAGTCTATCCGTCTCTGTGGAGCTTTCTGTAACTTAAGCAATGACAAGTGGTTATGGAGTCCAGCAATAAAAATGTATTCTAAAAAATTAAATACGTCATCCCAAAAATGAAAGATTATTGCTGTTGTGAAAGCTATTTTTCTCTTATGCACTTGTTTCTCTATCTGACACTCAGAAAAGCCAAGATATTCACGTGTACACTTGGAAACGCCCCCATCCTTTCCTTCTTCCCCATATTTGACATCCTTGGTCAAACTCTGTCCTCTCATTTGAGCCGTTCAGGTTGGAGGCTGTCGGTCAGACATTTAAGCTGCTCTTCCCCCAGCTTGATCTTGTCCTCAAGCTCTCGCTGCTCAATGATGAGGGCTGACTTCATTTTTACAAAGTGCTCATAGTCTGCTAAGTTCTCCTCACTCAAATAGTTCGCCAAAATGTCAAAGACAATGCGCTCTCGGCGATCCAGGTTCTCCTTCAGCTCTTTTGCATCTTCATGTTGCTGGGTCAGCAGCTTCTGCTTCTCTACCAACGTCCGCTTAGGAGAGAAGAAAAATAGTTAAAAATTCACTGGGCTCACCAGCTTGAGACAACAGCTTCAGAGTCTAAGTCGTCTATTTTAATTGCAAAGACAAAGGTTTTTCTAAATGCATGGAGAGGTGGAATAAGATTGCTTCTTAAAGTTTAATCTAATAAAACATATTAATAAACAGGGATAAGACTCAGTCAGTGAAAGATGCACCATGACTTTTAATTGGCCTTAGCAGCATGAACTTTAAAGACTACTTTACTAAGTAGTTTGAAATAGTTGTCTAAGCTCTCCAAAATGAGATTTAACTCATCTACATCTTACATCTTCAATACACAGCACTGAACTTCCACGCTGTAATAACTGGTGGTTAGGGAACACAGAAGCATTCTAATTAATGGAGCAATTTATTCTTGTGCAACTTGGCAGTTCTGCTTCAGTCTGCACAACTCTCCCATGAGATATGAAAATGTGTGGTCTTGAGAAATGATCAACAGTGAGAGCTGGGGAAAGATGACAAAAGCAAGTAAAGGTTTGCTGTCGTTGTTAAAAAGCATCATCTTCCCAAAAGGGCTGTACACTTTCTGCTTCGTGCCTTCACAATAATCAGTGACTCTCCACTACAACAGGAGGATATCCGAGACGTTGCTGTGCCACAGAAGTCTGGTTTGTCCTAAGGTTTATTCTGGCCAGGTAGAAGCCTCCTACAGTTTGAGAGCTAATCCACAGAAGGTACAAAAGAAAAAGAGAGGCTGAATAGAGAACCACGCACATATATGTACAAGAAAGGTGAGGTTCATCTGACCGGTCTCTTCCTGTCTCTTCCTAGCAGGCAGCCATGCCTGAATCATTCAGCTCTGCTACTCCTTCAGCAGTACATGGAGTGAAATAAGAATGTTGTTAATCTAACCTCTTTCAGATGTCTGTCTATAAATGGTTGTATTTTTCCAGCACTGATGAGTAGCCTACTAGATGTCAGGAATTCCAGTATAGACTTCTCAACCTAGTCAGAAAGTACCACTAAGAAGAACAATGCTATAAGTTTTAGCTTTGCTTCAACATTTTCTTTGAGATCTACGTTTTCCAAAAAAACATGATCTGCTTTTGTGAAGCTGTTCAAGTAAATTTGCCAATTTTTTTTTTTTTCACTTGGACTTTACATGCTAAAGGACACAGACTAAAGGATTTACAGAAAATTATTTTTGTAGACTACAGAAATTGTCCTTTCAAGACAGAAGTATGAGACAAAGAAGGATGCACAACAGTGAGCTGTAACAGATGTATGTCAGTTGCACACATGTCCTGTGATGTCTCTTCTTGTACAGACCACTCAATGCTTAGAAGGTGAAACTAAGACTTCAGCTATTAGTACACTGAAAATACGCAGATTAGATTAGCTCAAGGTTCAAGATAGCCACTGAAAAATCTGGACAGAAATTATACATTATCAGACAGTTCATTTTGCCTTTGAGTGTATTGCCAGGGAAAAAAACAAAAACCAAACCATTTCAAGTAATTTGCAAGAAGAGCTATCTGCTGCAAAGAAATGGAAAGACTCCTCTCCAAAATTCACTAGCAGCCAAGCCCAGACTTGGGAGCAGAATACCTCTGCTGTTTATGTACACATACAGAAGCAGCAGGAGAATCAGGATTTGATGAACACAAGAGGTCATATATCAACCTCTGCTAGCTCAGCTGCACAGTAATGTGCCTAGTTCTGTGGTGGGATGTTTATTTCTTTTAAAAAATCCTGAGATGTAAGTTGTACCATTTCTTCTTACCATGCCTGTCACATGACTCAAATAAGGGGATGCAGAAAGGCACAAGGCAAATGGAGACACATCTCAAATTTGATTTCACCACTGTCAAAGACGACAGACACCAGAAAGCTTGTTTTGAAGGGTAAAGTGAAACAGTAGTAGGCTCAAGATGCCATTCTTGAGGAGACTCTGAGTAATGGTTCAATGGTTCATTAGGCCTATAGGCATAACTGCTTGTACACACCACACTGTCATATGGGTTAGAGGCTGGAATCATCTGATGGACTTCAACTGATTAGAGCAAAGTGGAGTGCAGAAAGCTTTTTTTTTCAGTTAGCATTGATTTGGGGCTCCATCCATACAAAGGATTATCTGAAGCTGCTCTTATGGAACTATTTTTGGCTCTTCCTATTGAAAGCCTTTCTCAGTTACTGCTGTTTTGAACCACAGCCATATGAAAAGGGACTTCTTCCACCTATGTGACTTCTCAGCATCCATTTCCTAAACTGCTACCCTTGTCACTTGTCCTTAATCTAGCAATAACAAGTCTTGTGAGCCTATACACCTGATAAAACCTGTGAGCTGCTCATTCAGTGCTTTAGGGTTCTCACTATGCTCTGACTTTGGTTGATAAGGAAAGTAATGGGAAGACATTGGTCCAGTTGTGTAGAATGAAGGGGGCTGGTAGCTATTTCAGATTAAATCACTTCCAGAAATTGAAACACCTGATATTGTTTTTCATAGCAAAAGAGACCTACGACAGACCATCTAATAGAAAGAATATTAATTCTACAACAATCATTTACTTGCTGGTGCTGCTTATTTACAAGTCCACTGAACTGTTGGCTGGTTCCTAGAATGTGTGTTTCCTAGAGAAATATTTAATAGACAGCATCAGCTTACAGAAAAACAAAACTCAAAAACCAGTGATCACTAGGGACATGATCCCAGGATAGAAGTAATCTCCCCTGTATTTTATTCACATGATGCATTAGTAATACACCAAATATAATCATGTGAGCTACAAAATAACAAATGATAATCAAAAGAAGCCACACATGCCATCCTAAATTCAAAGATATACATATGTACCTCTGTACAAATTGTATTTATAGTCACAAGTATCTGGGGACATAATCTGAGAAGCATCTCTTACTGACACTTTGGACATGTATCTGATGTTACTATGGTAAAACTATGGTATAAGTGCATGAGAATGCAAATAGGGATTGGAATATATTAGGGGTTTGGATTTTTGTCAGTCTACATTTGATAGCAGAAAACACAACTTCTGACCACCTATACCACACCACCTACTTACCTGCTTTTTTTTCCATATCTAGCTAAAGAAGTTATTTTTATCAGCTCTCAAGTTGCGCTTCCTATGCACTTATATGATCTGGTAACTCTTTCCCCAGCTTCCACTCCCATCTTTGAACCCATTAAGCAACTGCAACCACATTTAGAAAAAATCAGTCTAAAAGAGCATTAAATTTCTCTAAGTTTCAGAAGCTTTGATCTGCCCTCTAATAAGCTGCCAAATACCTTCCCTTTGCATCTATCAGAAAGGGGTCTAGACAGCCATTAAGCAAGTATGCTTGGCAGCAGCTAGAGCCCAACAGCAAAAACACAGCTTCCTACTACTCACTGCACTTACTGATGAGACAATGGAGTATGCTGAGGAAACAACATAAATCCACAGCACACAGACAAAAAAAAATGATACAATGCTGCTAGCACTTCAACTCTCAGCTACAAGCCACAAATCCCACTTCACATTCATTTAACTGTAGAGGCTAAACTCACTTGACACATAATCCCTCCTATAGTCATTCTGACCTGTAATTTTCCCACATCTAAATCTCTACTTCAGTGCATATCTGTATCCCTAGATATCGCCCTCCTGGATAAGGCCTGCTGGGATCTTAAACTAAATTAAGTGGTGCACCATGCCCATAGGTAGGGTCCAACAGGTAAGAATACCATGAGAGTTTCTGAAATTTTCACATCTGCTTGACTCCTTGATTACCAGGCTATTTCGGTTGGGTAAAATATGTTTTGTACTGAAAAATTATTTTGGCAGTGCCTCCCTATCCCCCTTTTTTATTTTTAAGACTTGTCCTTTCTTGCTAGGCATTGTAGAGGAAGCTGGTGCACACAGGAAACTTCTTTGTCACAGTCTGACAATTTTTTTTTTAAATCACAATCCTTGCTGAGCATAAAGAAATCTGAAAGCTTTCTGTATTTCAACACAAAGTCACACTTACTCCTTTTCCCATCTTTTGCATTGTCAGAGAGAATAGTATTTTTATCTCATTAGTTATGCTCTCATTAGTAGCTTTCTTCTTTTGCTAATATTTTTCTAAGGAGCTTCTTTTCCAGTTACGTTGGCACCCAAAACACCACTTGACTGTCAAGCCACCTGTAGTTTTAGTATTCCAAGCAGAAGCAAAAGAAAGAGATAAGTCTTAAGAAATCTAAGAGTAATGGCCTTATGAGATCTATCTATTCATTATCCCTTTATATTTTAGATGAATACAAGGAAAAAACCTTATCAGATACATTAAATGTAGCTACATTACTCTTGTACTTTCTTACCCGCTCTTCAGGAGAGGTGTTTTCATCCAGGTTGTTAAGAGCATTTTCCACCCGGGCCAGACGACCTGAGAGTGACAGCAGGAGGTTGACTACTTTGTCCAGGTCTCCGATAAACATCTTGAATTTGTCAAACTCATTTGGTTTGCAGACTTCTTTCACAATGGCCTCCACCTCCTCCCCCAGAATATTGTTTGCTTGGATGTCTTCCAGGAGTGTCTCCCGAGCTTCCCTCAGCACTTGTAGCTTCCTGCTAATGCTGTCAATAAGTTCTTGCTGTGGAAGATAAAGGGGATGAGAATTTATTAGCACTACTCAATTTTTCCCCGCTTCTCATTCTGAAAGGCACGTCAGAAATTTAGCACTGCTATGTGACTTTTTTAATACACTGAAACTCCCAGGTGGCTTGGACAACGAGTGCATTATACATAAATACATGTCTAAGGTAACTATAGCATCACTGGATTCAAAGGTTCAGAATGCACATCTATAATGCTCAGCTTGAGACCTGTGTTAAAGCAACTCACCTCTGTGGAAAAAAAACATGAAAGATGTTTTCTTAAGTAAGCATTACTGCTGCTCCTTTGAACGTCTTCAAAGCCTACTATGGAGCAGCATGAAGTACAGCACATCCTTCTTCTAAATACCGTGCCTAGAGTACCTTTCTGAAGAGCTACACTTCAAGAAGGTAAATAGCACCAGAAAGACAATCCTGCATTTTCCCCATGACAGTTAAAACTAGGGCACTACCAAGCTTTTTATTCCTGTCTATTGAATATTAACATTCCCCCCCCAAACAGCAGCCCTTTCACTGTCAGAAAATCTTGAGAGTTATCACTGTCATACAGCATTTCAGTAGGGAAACCGTAATCCCTATGGCACAGAACAGGAAACAAAATCTGGTTCTGCAGCATACAAAGCAGCCCTGTGCAAAGTGGCTCTCACAGAGGACCGCACAATTTTTGACTAATGTTGTCCTATGCCAGCAGAAAATTCTATTTAATTTACAGTTTTGTCAGTCTCTCCAGTATAATGTCCCATTGCCTGGAATGTGCATGCCTTAGCTTGGAACAATCATTCTAGGTGGGTCACTGGTAGAGCCAGACCAAGAATCCCAACGTCCTCCCTTAATGACCTGTGCTCCACCCATGCTGCCTCCCTGCATCTGGCTGGGAGGGCCTTGTCTCAGATATCCCCATTAGCTTTCAGTTGTGCATGAGGAGTGGAGCTCCTTACAGTCAGTTGTCTACCCTACCATGACATGAATCAGACTCCAAAAATACCCCATTAATTTAAATGTATATGCATATTTGGTATTCAGCTAATTTCAGGTATGAAAATTCCCCCAAAGCATTCTTTAAATATACACCTATTACTGACATTTATAAGTGAAAATTGAATAGGTTAAAAAAAAAATCATTACTCCTTTTTTTTCGTATTTTTTTTGCAAAAAAAATTACTCATTAAGATCTTTAGGAAGCCTTTCTAAATAAAAATCTGATTGCAAGCCTTAATGATTACAGAGAAATATACTGGTAGCAGCTATTGCTTTCAGATGTCATAGAACAGTCATTGCCAACTTATTCTGGGAACAAAGAGAAATCTGCCATCTTAACCAAAGGCAATCATACTCTGAGTAATCAAACACTTTTTTGAAGGTAGAAATTCAAACACATGGATTATCTGGGCTGGTATTCTCCTTTTTGATTTAATATACTAGGCCAGGTTAATCTGGTTTTGGGTTATCTGTTAGTCTGGGTGTCCAAAAGATTAAGGTAGTAAGCAGTTCTACAGATGCCTGCTTTACTGACTGATTAATCTCAGGATTTGATTTTTTTTCCCTCTCTTCTTTCAGTGCAAATGCACAGTTTGATTTAGATTATGTAGGTCACAGTGCCAGGCTCTTATTTCCCCCAGATGACATGCACATACACTGCTGCTGTTTTATCACACGGAACAACAGAATACTATTCTACTCTATTTTATTACCTCAGATTTTTCATTTCTGTAGCTGTTCTGTGACTTTCACTAATGAAAAAAGATTGTAAATGTGCACAATATTTACCAATCAGCACAGGCAGTCCAGATCAGGAATCCAACCAGGTTCCTTTCTTAAAAAATAATAGTTAGAAAAAAATATCTTCACAGAAGCATCCTAATTACATGTCTGCTAGTAGCTGAAACAAGGCTCTTACGGAACACTTTTGCAGGTGAGAAGATATTTAACCCCTCTTTAAGACTCTCGTATCTTTTAAGATTTGGTTTATGATCACTGACTGCTTCCTGTCCGGATAAAGCAGTCTTTGCATGCTGCAACTGTGAGCTCACCACATGCTTTGGCTAACCAGCAGAAAACCTGTATGATACTCAATACTCAATGAGCCAAAAGATTTCCAATCTACATCCAAAAACTGGCAGATGAATAATTTACTGCTGTGAGTTCTGAACAAGAAAACAAGAAAACCTGATCTTTTCCCAGTAACTGTTGCTGATGTAACTAGCAACATAGAAAGTAGCAGAACAGCGTGCTTCTCAGGTGGTTCACTCAGGTGCTGCTTAGCATGTTTACATAAGTTATTCTCCTTTTAGCTCACTGCTTCATTTCACATAAATCTCAGGCCTAAAAAAGAAACTAGCTTTTCTTCTATTAATGCTGAGACTCACCAGGAGCTACTGATGTTTTCCTATAGGCACACAGGACCTTTCCTACTCAGCCACACATAGATTTTTTTAAGTACTAAAAACTGTCTTGGTATGTCTTCAGTGTCTGCTCAAGATTTTATAATTGTGGTAAACACACTTTATATTCAGCACGACACACAAACACCATTCATGATAGGCATCACCCCAAATATATGTTTTTTTTATTTTGGAACATCTATGTAAAGAATTCCCACATGCTTTTCAAAGTCATACCATCACTACAGCTCATAAAAGAAAAAAATAAATAGGAAAAGAACCCTAAACATTTCTGGGTTGCAGAGCAGAGAGTCATTCTACAGTTGACTGAAATTAAGATACTGATAAGACTGAAATTAGGAAATCAGGAAAGAAGTTCTGGCTCTGCATCTCCTCTAAAACAACTGAAGCGTTTGGATCCTTAATGATCCTTTGTTAGCCTGTTGCTAAGATGGGCCAAGTTGCATATCCTGGCTGTTTAATAATGATGCCCTGACCCACTTACCACAAGTTATATATGTTTTCTGACAAGATCCAAGCTGAAAGCCCGCTGAACTGAGTGCTCACATCCTACTGCATGCAGAGGAGCAGGGAGAGAAGTAAATAGCAACATGTGACAGTATGTATAGACTGAGAAGATAGGAGAGCTCTGCTAAAAGCTTTTCATGAAGTATTTCCCTTCTCATACTGCCAGTGGTGTACACTGAAACCAAGGAGCAGGAAAATATAAAGGGCAATACACTTCCTGTTTACAGACACAGAGTGGTTTTGCTTACAAATGTTTAATGTCCCGTTTGTTGGGCACTCAAGAAAGGCTTAATTTTACCTTCAGTTCACCTCCGTTATATATTTAATGAGAAGGAAACTAAAATGATAAACACGACCATCACATGCAGCAGCAGATAAAAATGAATTATTCCAAATGCAGTGAAATCCTTAATTTGTCTAAGTAGTACAGCTGTCGGATGCAGGGTCTCTGGCAAGAGGGCAAGGGCAGCTCTCCAGCAGCAGCCATGTCATGCCCCTGGCAGTACATGCTGTACTGAGCTGTGTGATGTGGTGGGGGCAGAAAAAGGGAGGGAAAGACAAGAGTGGTCACAGAAAACACTGAAGCAGAAAACACAGAAAACTCCACAAATTTAATGCAGGAGTTGGATGCCACTGAGGCAGGGGTGGGAGTCTCCTATGGAATGTCTCAGTCTTAACCGTAGCAACTAAATATATTCCTAGTGTTTAATTCAAAGATACTTCTCTGGGACTAGATCACAAAATTGGAAGTTGATTATTAGACACAAGGTTAACTTGAGTGAAAAAAAATGGATCACCATTGCATTACTGGCTTAGGCAAACAGAGTTAAAATACATCACTTTAACTGAACAAACAAACCATTTCCTCCAGCTTATCTGTACTGAGAACTACATTAAAATATTTTGTGCCAAATTACAAATGAGACAAGGGTGATAATTTTAACATAGAACAGCACTATCTGAAACCACTGAAATGCCAGTATATTGTTATTTTCAGACTTAGCATACTATGTCGACCTTAGAGCCGAACCACCCAAGGATGGGAGTGACAGTGGGGATGAACAAGAGTCAAGAAGACTCCCTCCCCTGTGATGAGTAACTTCCACATCATCCAGCAACATGATTAGCTCTCTCCCACCACTACTACTTCTGTTTTGTGAGGTAGGAGAAACTCAGAGCACAGTGATTTGTTGCTCATAAAAACAAATGAAAAAAAGAGCAAGGGAGGGGAGGAGAAAGTAGACACCTTCCCACTCATAACACACTGAAATCCCTGACCTAAATTTTGAAAATGTAGAGCAACTAAAATCACCACTAATTACAGTGGGATACATAAGAATTAATGTTTTTTTCTGCACAGTAAGTGAGAGGAACGACTAATATCTCAAATGAGAAACAGTAATTGAGAACAAACCCCTCTAATGGTCTCCCCTTGGGCCCTTCAAAAACGTGTCTCAAGCTGCAGAAAGCTAACATGAAATTCCTAAATTCACAGCTGGACACGTGCTCTCCTCCCTCTCCACTTCCATCGTCCTTTCAGTTCCCTCTAAAAACAGACTGATTTTTCAAGTGGCCTTGAACAAGTGGAAGATCTTTTATTTAGAATTCTTTAGCTATCAAATTCCTCCTTAATGAAATGCATGCGACTTCAAGAGCACCACGTTAACCATTTAGAAATGTCTTTTACCTTCTTCTCTGACAAATCATGATCTAGCTCATCTTCAGAATCATCTTCGCTCTGTTGCTGTTGCTGCTGCTCTTGCATGTCCTTCATTTTAATCAGCAGTTCAGCCTTTGGTGCAGATGTGCTGTAGTAAGTAGAATTGGTTGTCAGGGAGATGGCAGATGGTGCATTCTGCTCTTCTTTCCTGGTAAAAAGTCAAAACTCTCATTAAGTGCCTTGACATCCTAATCACTGAAAAGGAAGGACAATATTCTCAAGCCATCATTTCACCAACAAGCAGAGGGCTCAAGCTGAAAGCAATTACGTATGGAAACAGGATAAACAAATACTGTCTGTGAATAAAATTTGTGTGAAGTCAGCACATACCCACTAAAAAAGAAAACTGAAGTAGCGAAGAAGAGCTTTCACCATTATGATGAAGGAAATGGAACTAAGACATTTCAAATGGAATTCATAGAAATGTAGAATCACCAAGGTTAGAAAAGACCTCTAAGATCATCCAGTCCAATTGTCCACATATAACCAACAGTTCCCTCAAACCATGCCTCTCAGTACATTTCTTGAACACCTCCAGGGTTGGTGACTCCACCACCTCCCTGGGCAACCCAGCACCTGACCATTCCTTTGGAGAAGTATTTCCTAACATCCAACCTGAATCTCACCTGGCACAACTTGAGGCCATTCCCTCTCGTCCCATCGCTAGTTACATGGGAGAAGAGGATGAACACCACCTCACCATAACCTCCCTACAGGTGGTTGTAGAGAGTGATAAAGGTCTCCTCTGAGCCTCTTCCTCTACAGACTAAATTTGATAACTCTATTCAGGAAAACAAAAGACCCATAGAACATAAATATATTTCTATGGAATTTTACATCTTTAAGTTGTCTTTATAAGTTTTCATCACATAATAATTACTAAAATATTGATCTTTTTTCTATCAAGTTACCAAACTGGATAATCTTGGTAAAATATCTAACTGCTACGACAGGGAAGAAATAAATTATTCCTTAAATTGTCACATGAATAGTTTTCAGCCAAGTGTCAGCTTGTACAACACTTCTTTTTCTGAAATTAATTATATTTATTCTTGATTGCTATTCTAGTGGAAAACTCTTATAAAAGTTGCAAGGTTGAACAGGGAGTTCTTCATCCCTCCCGGAAAATTGATGCACCATGGACAGCAACTTGCAAGGAACTACTGGCCTACAGAAAGTGATACTCACTTCTCTTCTGAAATTTTTGGAGAAGGAACTTTTGGAAGGAGCTTCCTGCGCTGCTGAGCTTCTTCTAGGAGGTGTTCATCTTTTGGGAATATTCCAACCATCAGATCCATCGCTGTTTTTATTTTCACATTAGGATCCAGAATGTCTGCTAGAGATTTATCTCTTCCCACAATCTCTCTAGCTAGTTCCTCTGATTTCCAGTCTTCCAAGGTCTTCTCTTTGGCCTTTACGTAGCTGACTGCTGGCACAGCAGCACTGCCATCCTTCAAGTTGTTCCCAGGTTCTTCAGCTGGTTGAGGGTCAGTTGGTTTGGTTTTGGTTTCTGGCTCTGGCTCTACACCTTGCCTGGTGTAAGCACAGAATCGTGAATAGGACTGCTCAGAAGTGCTGAGCGTTTTAATTTGGTCCTTTTCCAAACCGCTGGGTAAAGCAGGTGGTTCCATTGTACTCACAAGACTTTGCCGGCTCTCCTTTTCTGCACTGCTCTCTGAATGAACTATCTTGATGGGAACCATTTTCACTGTAGTATTGTTGTCTATAACTCTTTCAATTCTAGAAAATGAGAAAAATTAATGAGAAACTTAAGAACCTTATATCTTAGTTCTCATCTACAAATCAGGGGAAGCCCAAATATAACAATAGGCAGATGAAATCTAAGTAACAGAACATTCCTTGTACCACATCTCAAACCCTAAAATTGCGTGTTTTCCTTTTTTGCCTACACATTCTTAATAGCATTAGTTCATTTGTAAGTAATTCTAATATCAGCTTGGCACGATACTCACTGAACAGGACTTCTGTTCATTTTTGTGAACACAAGGGTCAAGCCTCAGGCCCTAGTTTTCAAATGGTGCTGTTGAACATCCTTTGCTGCCACACATTCAGAGGACAACATGCCTCAAGCTCAAACTCATTGGCTTCTTGCAGACTCAACAGCAGCTTCAGCTTTTGGCCTGACAGTTATTTAGCTGTCTGGGTAGTTTCTGCTGCTCTCACATCAATTCCTAGCTCTTCCAAGGGAAAAGACAGCAGACCGGATGGAAGCATTCTGCATGCTATGCCTTTGCTGAGCTGCAATAGTCGCACACTAAAAACTCAGAAATCATTCAAAACCATAGCTATATGATTAAAAAAAAACTGTATTTGTATAATTTTCTAAGAGATACAGAAGTTTAGTAATAAGATCCCACAGCTGCATCCTAGTTTTTTACCTAAAGGATTAAAATCAGCCGCACTAAAGGATAACATACACAATTCTGCATATCCCTTTTAAAGGAAGCTTCCAGCCAAAATCACGTACCGTGTAGTACAAAGGGCCACCTTGGACATTCAAGAAAGAAAGCTACTTAAAGAGGTGGCTAAGATTTTAAATTGGACAATAACATGTTAAATAACATTACTAAAACATTTGTACTGTATGTAAACCATATAAGAAACTAAAGTCTAGTTTGGTGGTTTTGAGTTTGCAGAAAGTTTAAAATTATTGTCATAATGTGGGTTTGGAAGCCCTACAGTAAGTAAAGGAACATTGCCTACTAGCTAAAATATCTAGTTTCATCTGGCTTGCTTGTTTGCCGCCTTCCATATAAGTGACCAAGACATACTACAGATTGTTTCCTCTAAACACGGGTGTGTCACTCTTCTTAAATATAAACTTATACTTTTCCGTGCTATACTTTTCTTTTGCAAAGAACAGAAAAATCTATCTGACTTTGTCTTTTCCAGAAGAAGCATTTTATATTTTAAAAGTGTCTTTGCTTCCAAATAGCCTCCCAGTTGATATTTATTTTCCTCAAGTGCTTTGGAGGCATAGTTTTGCACACATTTGGGGCAGATTTTCTATCCCATGTTGAACACTAAACAATTCTTAGAGGTTTCCAAGCAAGCTTGCATAAGACAGTGAGGTACAGCAGTGATAGCAGTGTAGGCACAGGCCCCCATTTACTATTAATTTTCTGACATAGCCAAAAGAACACATCCTTAAAAGTGCAATCCTCCTTTGCACACCCTTTTGCCCTGGCTCCTCCACTGCCATCAGATGAGGGTTTTTGCATTCAGGATGACTGTTATTTTCAAGAGCTTGCTCATGTCTCTGCTTTTCAGTCTGAGCTCCCTTTAAGTATAATTGCTCTCTTTGTGCAATCTGGTGAAAATGTTCTTAGCTGAACCATGTTAAGTCACCCCCTGCCTTTTAATTTTTTTTATTTTATTTTTTTTTTTAAATAAAGCCTTCACCTTTCAGATCCAACAAGACTCCAAGAGGAATGTATTTTGAATCTGTGGGAATTATAAAATCTGTGCATAAGTGTGGGAGGGGCAGCTGGGAGAAATTAGATTAGTTGATGGCAATTCTTTACTTAAAATGATCTGCATCTCTTTTGGTTCTCTAGGTACTTTCCTCTCAGGATAGCATAAGATTGTATATATTTCTGACATTAACACCTGCTTTATTAAGTAATATAATTAGCAACTGAGCATGGATTTTAAGATCTTAAAATCTCAATGAAAGATATGCTGGGTTAAGCACTTTCAAAACTACTTTCAAAATATCATTCAGATACAGGCATGTAATTTAGCATACATCAGTGTGCATTTCAGCATTAAAGCTCAGTGAAAAGGAAGGCCACATACAATTAGCTTTTTTTTTTTTTTTTTGTGTCTTTTGTGTCTATTCCTAAACCAGTACCTTACAGAAGTCACTACTGTCACCTCCCTTAGCAAACGGGTGCTAGAGATCACACAACAACACCTTGCACTTTGCTTAGGATACTGTATTCTCTTTATCTTAAAAACACTGCAGGGAGAAATTTCATTACTACCTCCTTTTTAAAGAGGAAAATTGTCAAGGCATGCTTAACATCCACAGAGAAAATGGAGTCAAATTTGCATCCAACATCCCTGGCCTCTCTCAACCTCCAAACTCACTTCATCAACTCAGGGCCTCCAGCTTGTTATTCGGGCAAAAACAGAATAAGAACTGATGTTGGCTTTAAAAGATTTGTTAAAAGCCAAATTAAATCACTTTCTGCTACTGAAAACATCCAGGAAAAAAAAGAAAAAAGAAAAAGATTTATGCTTTCCACGTCATAAGGCATTGGAAAACAGGATGACTGAGTCTATTGAATCATTTGCACTACAGTAAAGAAAAGTAATTTCAACTGCTTTAGCACAGAGAAACAATCTCAGCATTCAGATAGCCTGGATTTTTATTTTCATTCTTTAACCATGAATTATAGTGCTGAAAGAATAATGAAAACTACCATTCTTGAGCTTCATTGACAAGTTTGTTATCTGGCAGGAGAATAACCTTTTATGATATGAGCAACATACAACAATCACAGAAATCAATTAATTTGAGCTGGCTTGTCTAATCCTGAGTTTATCTATTCTCTTGCAAAACCTTCAGCCCACTTCAGTATGAATAGCACTACAGTCATCTCAACAGACTACCTGGAATGCCAAATTTCATTGTAAAAGGAACATGAAAATAGTCATAATTTCACAGTACACCTTACTGTGTGAGCTTTCAAACCAGATGTTCTCACAAAAGATTACAGCTTCCCTTCCCATATCTGCTTTGTCCCTAAACTGATTTGTATTCACACAGAGCCTGAGGTAGAGGAAATGACAATGGTAAACATTCTGATTCTACCCAGATGTACATTGGAAAATCCATTAGAATCTAACCTTCTGTTTTCTACTATCTTTACCAGCTTTAACTCCTGAGCAGCATCCCTCATTATTAAGCACCAGCCACCTAAAAGAAACCCCAGACCAGCTGAAGGATTTTAGTGGAATTTCACAGAAGTTTTAGGTCTTTTTAGGATATACTGGAAAGCTTTATGCTTAATGAACCCAAAAGATGTGCTTTTACTGAAGAAATAGGATAGTCAACCATTAATAATGCCTAATTGGGCAAAAAGGTATTAAAATTATTAAAGAATTAGGGCTAGTACCTGGCTGGGTTGTCATCCTGTACAGACACAGGAGGTTTATCAGTGAGCTTCTGTGGTGCAAACTGAGGAGAAGGGGACCTCGATGTCTCCATGTCAGGTTTCTGAAGGTACCGATACTTGCTGGAAGTTAACACAGATTCGGACTTAAGGTGCGTTTTTTCTTCTAAGTGCTGACAAACATTCTCTGTGGATGACGCCTGCAGAAGTTCCTGTGGATTATCACTCTTTAGTTTTCCATTGAAAACTGCAGGACTCTGACAGAGAGATGAGTGACTCGTAAACACTTTGGCAGAGCTGGGGGAAGAGGACGGAAAGGGGTGGCTGGGTGCTGCCAACAAGGATTCAGAAGAGGCACCAAGCGATGGTGCAGAATTATCTGGTCGCCTGTATTTATCTCTTTTGGGTGGTGGAGGCCTCTGAGGAGCAGGTCCACGTTTCTTATTGAGCAGTGCCGGCTCTGTTCTGTGATTTTCCTCTCTGGTGCCCTGGGACAGATAGCAGTGGTTCTCGTTCAAGGACTGCGGCTCAGAACACGCGAGGTGAGGCAAACTGCAGTCCTTGCTCTTCTCATTCACGTTTTCCTGAGAGTATCTGTAATCACTAGGCAATGTCCCAGATCTCCCGCGGCTTTCGTGAGACAAAACCGTCGGCTCTCTTGCATGCAGAGGTCTGACAGATGCCTTCCACTTGTGGCCTATATTCTGGCCCAGCTGATCCCTTTTTTCCCGTGGGTTTTCTCTTAGGGCCCCGATACCAGCTTGCCTAGGGAGAAGAAAACATCATTAGCATGCTGCTGTTTTATTTCTGTGAGGCCACAGATGATCTAGGAAGCCTGAAAGCTTGAATACCGAGATCACAGCAAACATTTAATATTAACTCCTGCAATTCAGAGTAAGTATACGGCACAAAAACATTCTCTGTGTATTTAATCTAACATGATGAGTCAAAGCATAATGTCACGCTAAATTAGGGTACGTGGCGTCACAGGATGTGACACAACCTTGAGTTAACCTGAGGCACTGCAGTGTACATGGCAGAGCTAAATGCATAGCAAAGCTGAAGCACTAATGTATGTGGCACAGCCAAACGCGCAAATGTTTTTCTTCCATTTCTGTTCTCAAATGCAATTCCACTTCTATTCCAGAGTCACCAGTGAAATGCAGAAAATGTGTTTCTTCTGTACATGCAAAATTAATACTTTGATGTCACTTTAAATAAAATCTGAACACTGAAATTTAATTATGAACTTTTGAGGTTGAATTTTTAGATCTGCATAACTGTAGAAAAATGAAGTAAAAGTGCAAACAAAATGTTTGCTGAAGCTACACGTCAGCATAAGTGACAAATAGTGGCCAAAATGGCCTTATTCTACACAGTAATATTTTTTATTTTATTCCAATTGTGTACTCTCTGCTTCTATAGTCAGGAAACAGGCATTAGCAGCTCCAGGCCACAAGAAATGTAGTTCATTTGTCTTCGCCAGATAGAGAGAGATTGAGAAAGAAAGAAAAAAAAAAAAGTACCTCTGGAGCCCTAAAAGGAGACAGGTTTGCTCTCTGCTAAAGGAGGCTGAGGAGACACAGAGATTAGAAAAGAAGCAGCTTAGAAAAGTAAAAAGCTTCAGAGAACTATTAATGTCTTGTGCTGCTGACAGCTCTGGGCTCTATGTTTTGATGGGTCAGTCCGTGCTTTAGATGAGCACTGCCCAAGCTGTCCTTTGAGGGGACTCATCTTTCCCAGCCTATTTGTAAAGTAAGGTTACCTGCAATTTTCAATATAAGCAAGTTACTGAACTTACCGTACCAGTTTTGAATGTAAGTATGTAGGTGGTTAACATCAGTATATATGAAAATTACATTTGAGACAAGAGAAGACCAAACAAGTAACAGGTTAGAGACATCATGAATTCAAGACAAAAAGAAAAGGAGAATTAAACACTGTGTTATTATTTTAATTAAATTCAAAAAATAAACTTAAAAAAAACAAAAACAAAACGCTTTATGACAACAAAACTAAAAGTTTCATTTTTCACACCTGTATGATCAAATTACATTCAAAATTATTCTGTTTAGTCCTTGGATCTGTGATGTTTTAGCACTTACATAAACAATTCTAAAAAAACCCAAACCTGGACATTTTCATTAAGCTGCCTGATGGGATGGGATTTTTAAAAATCATAATTCATATGGATTTTTATGTGTCAGTAACAAAATAGTGTTGTCCTTCTAAGAGAGATGGCTTTTTCTCAATTTACTTCCAAAGTCTCTCTCATGTGGTGTTAAATTTTTAAATTCAATTTCAACATGTACATTTTTGATTTAACATGAATTAAGAGATGAATACTGTTTCAAGTTACATCTCCTCATATTGCTCTTAACTAAGTGCAGCTGGTTCAGAAAACTTCAAGTTGTCTGACAAATTCTGAGTTAATCCTATTTTATAAAGGCAGTATTTATTCACTCTCATTTTAACATCAGACTAAGGATAATGTTGTTAAATAAAATGTTTTAAGGCCAGAAAGACCAAGGTCCAAGCCTGGCCACTGATATTCAGATTTGGTTATGTGGCATCTCTGGAGTCAGCTGGTTTTCCCTAGAGTGCTCAATGTAAGCAGAACTGAGCCTGTAAATGGTTCCCCTAATTTTAATGGAAATATTTACCAAATGAAGTCTTCAGGCCTTAAGTATGAAGCACTGTGTTTAAATCAGCATTCTTCCTTGTCTTGATAACCTATGCACAGCATAATTTTCTTCTAGTTAACCTGTGCCAAAAAAAAAATCATGCCTCCCTATTCATCTTCACATACATAAACCATATTATTACACAGTATAATAGCTGCACTTAGGTACACATAAAAATCATGGGCACGGCACAAAATGTTGCAGACAAATGACATGCACTACCTCACCAGTCTGCAAAGTACACACTGAGTTTAACATGCACATCACAAGTGGGTGTGCTGGTGGAAGCAAACAGGAGCACACCACTAATCTGACACGTTTACATACCCAAAGCAAGTAGCAAAATTTGTTTACTGTTACCCTGGCTCACAAGGAATGAATGCTTTGGTAGTTCTGTCACCTTACAGAAATAAAGTACAAGGAAATAAGGAGTCACAGCACAGATGAATTTAGATACACTATGGTTGCAAACGTGGAGATAAAATTAAGTGATTCCATACGTGCTTTCATACCCTTTCCAGAAAATTAATCAAGCATTATGCAGCGCCACAGAAAATGGGTTTTGGAAAAGGTGGCTACATTCAACACTGAGGCTGTTTGCATTCAGTGTGGGTGGATCTTCATGCAAAACATGCTTATCACCTTATTTTGGAAAGATTTCAGCTTACTGTTCAGAAAGGAGGAAAAGAAAACAAGCTTCAAGCCCCAGGAGAACACAGTGGAAAGAACCTGCAAAGGTGTTAGATTATTATCAATAAAAGAAGTCCACTGAGCTACTGAGAATCTGTCTGTACTTTATGTAATGGTACACCCAAAATACGGCCAATTCAGAAATGAGGCCCACAGAATTATTCAGGGATAACAAACCACTGAAACAACCTCTTCTACAAGCAAACATCACAAAGCAAGAAATCCCACAAGAACACGACTACTGATTTAATTACAGTTTTCATTCTAGATAACAAAATGTTCATAATAAAAAAACTTTAAAGTATCTTCAAACCTAAAGCTTCCCAATCCCCACGACAAAATGCCACAATATCCAAGTGCCAAAGCCCTTCCAACACAATGAAGACAGGATGGCTACCGCCATGTTCTTCATCCTTAGCAGGCCATGATGTTCCAGGTTTGATAGTCAGGCTTCTCATACCGTGCACTTACTCTGAACTGTAATGGAAGTATAATCAACAGATTTATGCTGAGGATACTCAGCGGTATTCAGGAAGAGCAAATCCAGCACAGAGGGCTAACACAAACGTTCCCTACTGTACCTGCTTTGGGTATTTAAGGCATGCAAGTGCCCAAGGTAATTAAGTACAGGAGCTTTCATATATCTAAACTGGGATGGAGGTGGAACAAAAGTGCTTCCAACTAAAAAGAAAGCAACAGCTTTGTTTCCAAGAACACTGTTTAGAATAGGGTTCAGCTCTCCCAGAGGCTCACAGCCATCCATCAGCTGCTTCAGCTCTGTGGCTCACGTTTCCATCATTGGTTATAGTCACTTAGCAGAACAAGGGAGCCCAACTCGACAGTGGAAAGATGCATCTTAAAAAATGACATTAGTATTTTCTTCCCAAATGGAAAAGCATATTTCCCAGCTTCCTTTCAGCTTTGCTAGCTCCAGGCATATACACTGAGTGCTGAAAAGCCATGGAAATTCTCAGGGAAACCAACCAAGCCTCCTCCTCAATCCTGCCACCTCCCAGTATTAATATAACAACAATGTATAAGATACACATGCACGTGCTAACAGGAGCATGCTGGTGGAGTCAATGAGCAATTACCAAAATGAATCATTAACTACAGATACCTATCAGATGGATAACATTTTTGGTTGACGTAAAAAAACAACCCCAAACTATTTCCTTCTTTTGTCCCACACTCAGGATTTGACTAAATCAGGACATAAATGTAGAATGGTCTGATTGAACGCTGTGTCTCAATAAATGGGAATCAATCCAACATATCTGATGCTTAGGTATCTTCACAGTTTCTTGAGAATGCTTCAGGTCAAGCCAAACAGTGCCAGAAGATGGTCCAACTTGAAAATCCCAGACTAAATAACCTTGGCAAAAATTGATCAGCTAACATTTTAAGAACAGAGTGTTTTGTTAAAGACTTCAACTACATGCAAAAGTGTAACCATAAAACTTAAGAATGGTTATGTAAGCAACAAAGTGTACTCCAGTGCCTTAATTGGCAAAAGAAAGCAAATGGAGTAGCTGTTTCCGATTTAGCTTAAATTCCTTCTGAAACTCCACAAGCTATCCTAGAAAAAAGGCCTTCCTATCTACGCAAAAATCTTTCCTAAGAGTCCTCATTCTACAAGAAGCTCCACATACTCAAGGCCACAGTTTTGCAATCCTTTCAAGCTGATTTTAATGCAGATATTTTGCCTAAAGAGGCAGTCACAGTCTACTCCAATTTTGTCTTCCTGCTCTCTTCATTGTATTAACAGTAGAAATTTCACAGCCCCACAGAAAATTGGATCAAGGAACTGACCTGGCTCAAAACAGATAATTATGTGGCTTACAGCAATTGTGAAACAGTCTTTGCTTATGCCAAAACCCTGTTTATAGGCAGAGTCTTTGCCGTTATGCCGCTTTTTCAGCTGTGAACTTTATGCGCTGAAACTATGCTTTCATTGTGTATTTGCATAGCACTTTGCACAGTGGGATCCGAAAGCACTTGTGCAATAGATACTGATACAGCAGTGCAATCTAAGAGATTCAGCTTACACTAAAGTAGCCTCTACAAGCTAATTGTCCATTGGTAGGAGATTGATGTAGTTACCTAATTACACGTCAGAAACTTTAATTACTGAAAGACATACATCCCTCTAAGAACTGGCAGCTCCATGCCAAGTGGGACACAATTGACCAGCTCAGGTCTCTCCAGACACCTGCATTTCTCCAACTGAATCAAGCTCGAGACTTCTATGGGTTATACTTACAGTAGGCACTTCACTTTCATGCAGATATCTACTTAGATTAGGGACTTAAATCCCACTTAGTCCCACATACTTTTTCTTTCAGGGGCTCCAGTAGCAGCCATTAAGGCTTTGACACTCAAACTGGTTTT